CCAGCCGCTTCTCTGCCCGGGCTCCCGCCGGGCTGCAGCGAGCGAGCGCCGTGCCACGGCTGCGTACCTTGCCACATCCTGTGGCAGCCTGGTGTAGTCACCCACCGTACTTTCCGCCCTCCACCCCCAGCGTCGGATCTGTTTTACAGATGGTTTTGAATAGCAGTTTCTGTCAGTTTGGTGATGTGATGTAGGCACTGATGTCTTACAGCAGGCAAGAAAGCTAGAAGTGTCTTCATATAGCTATTTAGATCTGTGATAGGGTAAGGCAAGTGTTTCTGTTGTGATTGGTTTATAACAAGGCAGAAATATTTATTTTTTTTCTTAACTTTACCCAATATGCACTGAAATTACCTTTCTTCAAGCAGCATGCAGAAGCTGGAAACTGAGAGATTTGTGTCAGCTGTACTGCTGAAGTTGTCAGTGCTGCAAAACGAGTGTAGTGTGTCCTGCGGGAAGTCATCGTCCATACTGCACGTACACAGTGCTGTCAAGATTTCCCACTCCACCTAGAGACGTGAAATTCCTTAAACCACATTTCTACATACAATTTTAGACGTATTTCCTTGATACTGTTACATTAGTAACTTGAATAGAAGTATCGTTCCAGATAGGAATCTCCTCCATAGCAATTCAGCACAGTATTCCCACTCTGGGATTAAGCATGTGGTGATGTTCATTTGTATGCACGTGTCTCAGTCTGAACACCACTATTTCTTCTGCACTGATGACTTAGGTACTGCGTATTTGCAGCTGTTTTTCCTGTTTTTAAACCATTGCATCAAGGAAATATACATTATTGCAAAAGATGAATACTTAATGAAAGAAATTCTCAAAATACTTTGTTTGGATTTGCCCTGCCACGAACTTCGATGTTTTGAAGCCCCTGACCCAGTTTTTACAGGGAGATGCTCTAAAGCAGACATGAACCAGTGTAAGGAATGCCTTTTTAGCTAAAGCTGAACTGCAGCCTGAAGCTGGGGCTAATAACAGTGGCATTCCTTTTCCAGCACAGTGCCTACAGGAAATCATTTTCCATTTTTCTGAGAGTATGATCAGAGAGCACGAAGATCTTGGGAGATATCTCGGGACTTTTGCTTCTTCGTGATTTCAGAGACTGGATTTAAAAACAACCTTTATAATCATTGGAGCTTTTGTAATAAGATGTTTTAAAGGTCTTTAAGTTTGGAAGTGTAGAGCAAATGCCAACCATTACATGTTGTGGAGTCTCCTTCTCTGGAGATACTCAGGACCCACCTGGACAAGGTCCTGTGCAGCCTGCTGTAGGTGACCCTGCTTCGGCAGGAGGGTTGGACCAGATGACCCACAGAGGTCCCTTCCAACCCTGAACATTCTGTGATTCTGTATGAGCTTAGTTTTAAGCACTGTGAGTTCTCCCTTCCATGTACGCGCGTGCCTGCGCTGGCAGAGAGACGCTGACTGCGGTGACTTGCGCCTTTCCAGGTCGGAGAGGACTCCCGCCATTCGGGACCGCCAGTGCTGCCGAGGCCGTCCAGCACGTTCAATACAGTCAGCAGAGCTCAGTACCAGGACGTGGTGCCCGTCGGTATGTCCGCACACGGCCGCTTTCGGAGGAGCTCCCCGTGCCCGAGTGTGTCATGTTGGTGTGCACGGCTGGGTTTTTCGTTTGGCGTGGGTGGGTGGGAGTTCTCACCTGTTATGATTACTTCTGGCCATCAGCATTTCCCAGTTCCCGTCCAAATTTCCCAGTTGTCCAGTTGCAACCTGCAGGAACGGTTCTGAGAAGTGTCTGTGCAGAACCAACCGGTGTGAAACCTCAACTTGCCCAGCTCACTTGCTCTGAGCAGTGACGGGCGGAGTTGAAGCCAGTGAGCCAAGTTGTGTCCCAGTTGGACCGCATGTATTCCCGGTGATTTTTGTACAACTTCTGGGCATCTGTTTTGGCAGGATTCCCGAAAGTGTTAATCAGCTTGGAATTAGTCATTAGCTCAGCTTCTGTTCTCAGTTACAGACACACAAAGTTACTGACTTCTGTGCCACCAAGAACAGAATTTAGCTTATGGAGTCGAACAGCTGTCACATTCTGCTGAATCGAGATAAATTAATCCGATTGACTATAACTGGCCCTTTGTACTGTGGCGTGTTTACTTGAAAATCCTTGCTCATTTAAGCCCTTCCCCTTGCCACAGGCATGGTGTGCAGACACTGCAGGCTCGACAGTTACTGAGGATTTGATACGGGTGTTGCCAGTGGCTGTTTCATGCTGGAGAATGGATCTCAGTGCAGTGAAAACCAAGGTCCCTCCAATTTTATTCTAGCAATAAATATTCTAGTTCAGCCTTGGCTAAGAGTGTGAGTGGTAAAATATAATAGAAATTACCAACAAAATTAGAGCTGTTAACAGTGGGAAGGACGTGTCACAGTCAGATTTAGTTCATAATCAAGAAGTGTGTTCCCTAAATGACAGTAGGATCGGTAGCCTTACATGAAAAAGTAGTAGCACGACACTGCTAAACTTAAAACTGCGACGACGAAGTCTGCTGTCGTTATTGTTCAAAACTCAGAAGGAATGCAGGCCTGTCTTTCGGTATCTCCTTGTTTCAGCATGATGTTTTTGTTGATGTTTTCAGCTTACAATGACAAGATTGTTGCGTTTTTGCGGCAGCCCAATATCTTTGAAATTCTGCAAGAGCGTCAACCAGATCTTACCAGGAATCATTCACTCAGGTAATCAGTGAAGTCTGCTATTCCCATTTCAATACAAAATGATAATTAGAATTAGTTTCTTTCATTAAAATTAGCAGTGGAACATAACAATTTGTAGACTTTTAGAAGTTAGGATATTTGATTAAGGTAAAGTATCTTCCCTTATACCTTTCCTATGTTTCTCTAGAACTGATGCTTCAGTAACATTTCTTCCATGAAGATCCCAGTTTCATTTTTCCTAGTCAGTCTTTTAAGACCTTGATTTAGGAACTGAGTGGAGTCCATTTCTATTTGACGCTTTGTGAGACTGACCAACGCCGATGACATTGCTGTAACGCTTGATCAGTTAAGACCAAAGTAAAATCCTGCACTATGAATTCTTTCTGTCTTTCTTTTTTTAGTGCAGTGGTTAGTACAACTGTCTGGAATCTATTTTTTCAGGACCTCAGTGCAATTGGAGTAGAGTGAGGATGTTATTAAATATTATTTTCACTATTACAGTGATTGCATAGGTGAGGAGGAAAATCAGTATGTGGCCAGTGGAATAGGACAGAGATCATTTGAAAAGATCTCTTACGTTTTCTATCTAAAACAATTTCTCATTCCTGAAAAGAATGAAGAGAAGTGGTAAGAAGTTGAGGGTCTATTAAAATATACGATGAAAGTATACTAGAGGTAGGAAATTGTTGTTCAGAGGTTTTACGGTGGAGTGAGAACATTCTACTTGTCATGCTGTTATTGAGCATGTAGCCAGGATCAAATCTCATTGCAAGCCACCACAGAGAAAACTGGGAGGCTGTTAAACCATGTAAAAGGCTTCTGGCAAAGGCATCTATTATACGTTAAACATGATTTATATCATAACAGATGGTGAAAGGCATGTATTTAAAAAACTATCATTGAAATCACAACTGTCATGGGTAACCCTGACAGGTCGTGGAGTGCATTCATTTGGAGGGCTGCATACGTTAGTTAACCCAGAAAACGTCCTCCTGATTCCTGGTTTCTGGTGTTGCTGCCAACTAAATGCTAAGATGTATTTTGTAATCCACTGTTTATCTCCTCACACCTTGCCGCTGGGCCCTGCTGTAAGCTGTAGCAGGCCCTGGCAGTGGCCAGCTGTCCCTGCCCTGGGCACACCAGGGCCGTGCTCGCAGGTGGGCAGCACACGTTGGCTTTGGCTCAGCAGCAGGAAGCAGCCACAGAATTGCATTCGGTGTAAATCCTAAAAATCTGTGTGTTACCGTGCTGGGAGTTTAGGATGCATGGATTCCACCATAGTGACCAGACTGGGTGTGGGAGGAATGGTGCATGCTTGGGTGGGACAGAGGGGCAGATGTAGTACACGGGTTTTTCTGGAGGAGCTCTTACATGCAGTGTGTTAGGAAAGCCCCGCTTTTAAAATCCCAGGTGTGCACTGCAGTGGGTAGCTTGCGTTTGTACAAAGGTTCAAAAAATACAGTACTTTTTTAAACAGTTCACTTCCAGAATAGTGATGTCCTCCCGCAGGGCGCAGCCTCCTACGTTGAATTGAGGGACATAGCTAGTGCGAACTTGAAAGACTGAATTTTTAAAAAATCTTTTTTTGCTGGTTGGCTGGGTGTACTATCTAGAGCAGCCTGAGCGCTCAAGAGATGAGGGCGACAGGAGAACTATTCCTCAGAACAAATTGGCTTTTTGGTTGTAATATTTTGCTGCTCGCATGGACACGGTCTTGCAGGGAAGAGAATGGTTTCTGAAAGAGAAGCACATCCCAGAGGTTTGTATGCTAAACGCTGTCCTTCCCTTGTTGCTGTGGTGTCCGTTAGTGCCTTATTTGCAAAAGATATTTTGGAAGTGTTTTTTTGCTTACACAGGGAGAAGATCCAGTTCATCCGGACAGAGGGAACACCTGGGCTGGTGCGTTTATCCAGTGATGCAGACCTTGTCATGTTACTCAGGTAGGCCCAGCTGCTTTCGCTGCACGTACGGAATATGCCGTGGCGGCTGCTGAGGAGCCTGTCGGCGAGTAGTGTGGGCTGACGTGGTCACCTGAGCCTTTCCCCTTCAGTACTTGGGAGAGCTGCAACTCGGGGTCAGATTTTTGGTTTTTGTGATGTTCGGTTTCTAGATGGTGGCTGGAGGTCACGTTTTCTCACAGGAGTGGTGGAATCTGATCCTCGGTCCGAGGAAGGGCGAGCACAAGAGCGCTGTGCTTGTGATTTAGGTGGGTTTGCCCAGACTGCCTTTATTGTCCTGTGGCATCCTGCTCTGACATGTAGGCAGGTGGTGTGGTTTAGACCTCCTCCCAGGAAGGTGCCTTCTGCTGCTTCGGGAGTGCAGCTCTTCAGTTCTGTGGGTTGGGAAGTCTGAATCCGTGACCTTCCCTACCGGAGGGCGGGTTTGGTACCGAGTGTCTCGCTGCCTCTGCACTGAGCCGCCAAGCGTTGTCCCCTTTGCTGAAGGAAATACTGTTACAGACCTCGATAAATGGGAAGCTGCTGCTTTAATGTTTTTCATTTAACCAATAAACTCAAAAAATAAGGCAGTTTTTTGCTAGAATTAAACCCTTATATCTTCGTGTTGTATTCCCATCCATGGCAAAAGTGCATCAAGAAATTCACGAGTACATTTAAAATTGAAGCTGGTGAAATAGGATTGGCGTTAGTAGTAGCATTTTGAGAGCAGGTTGCATAATGATAATCCTTTCTGGTCGCTAAATCTCTGAATTAATTACAGCTATAAAAAAATATCTCATTTTAAAGCCATGCTGAAGTTTCTTTTTAAATGGGAATATTGTTTCTTGAAAAAAATCTTTTAAGATTTTTGTTGTGTTGTATAACACACGGAGATGACACGCGTTTTACACAGAAATATCTGGCTTCAGCTACTTGTTTTGAGATAAAGATTGCATGAATGATTTTGTCCTGGCTCTCTGACTGGATTTTGTTCCCCCTGGTGTTCTGTTAACAGCAAAGACTGCAAACAATTCTTATAGTGGAAATAAAGCAAATTCAGAATTTTGATTGCAGTCTTTCTTTTGTAGAAAAGCAATAATCAGTATAACTGATTTTTAAAAAAGTAGTAGCCAGTGCCTCCCTAGAATACCTTTATCATATTTTTCAGACTTTATTTTTCTTCACCTGCTTTTTTCCAAAAAATATACGTAATTGAAAACTGTTGCTGAGGGTTTTCTTCCTATTTTATTAATCATCGAACCTGCTATTGCACCGAGGACATAGTTTTAATAAAATGGTATCTACACATCCATTAGTTTCTCAAAATACTGGCTGCTATACCTCAAGACTGGACTGAGTAGTTGTGAGCTCGTTGTGAGTAAATGCTGGTGTAAAGTCAAAGGTGGGCTGAGTCAGAGTAGTGGTGTGCTGAGATGGTGAAATTTCTTTTCTTACCATTATTTAGTCTCAGCGGATTTTTACTTTAAACAGGATCTTCTGGGCGGGCGTCACCATGATGCTTGTCTATGAAACCCTGAAAAAAGGACACCCTAATCACGATGTCTCAGGCCTCCCGGGGCGCAGGACACCTGGGTTCTGTGTCTGGCTGGGCTGTCGGATGGCCTTGGGGAAGGTGTACCCATTTCCTCGCCTCTCCTGCTTCGTTGTCCTGTAGAGCACTCTGCAGGCCTAGTAATGGGTGGCTGGAATCACTAGGTGGATATTTTTCTGTCTTGGGAACACTGTACATTTTTTCACATGCTTCAGTAAACATAAAATTGCAGCTAACTAAAACCAAGCAAACCAACCCTGAAGTCTTTAGGGAGTGAAGGAGATACAGTGCCTCACATCTTTAAAAATACTCCAAGAATGGCATTATATTATGCTTCGGGTGTTGAGAAGAAAACATTTTTCATTTTCTTCTTCCAAACACGTTGTTTGGTATACAACACGAATCATCATCCTAACTCTTCATTTCATCCAGGATTGAAGTAGTGGTGTATATTTTATCATGTTCTCAGCAGCAAAAATAGAACTGGGAGGAAAGCGACACATGGTCATGAATGTAGAAAGAACCGTCAGAAAACACCCGTTCCAAAATGAGCCTCATGCAACAAGTATCTCTAGGTATTTGTTCAGTGAACAAACTTAATAAGAGACATCTGTTATTTGAAGATTGCTTTCACTGGTTGAGCTAGACCTATAGTAAAAGATCGGCTCGTGATTCTTCTGTAGCTCAAGTTCTGAAAATAAATTTTACACATGATCCCAACAGTTTATTCTTATCTGTGTTGTGTTCAACATCAGACACAGGCTGTGATATCAGATCCATGCTGATATTAGATATTCTGTCTCTCTTTGGATTTGCTTGTGTCGATTTTGGGGAAAAGACTGAAATTTTAGTGTGTGTACAGACCTTGTGTATGTAGATGCAGTGATTAGGCTGCGAAATGTTTGTTATTTTTCTCTTAAAAGTTGTTCAGTGATAATAGATGAGCCATGAAATAGCTTAACCTGAGCAGGCTAGATGTGATACCCGTTTCGGCAGCAGTGTTGGTGTGAGAGATAAAATAGATAAAAAAAGGAAGTGGCTTGTTGTGCCAGCAAGCTTCCTCTTGAGTGCACTCAACCATTCCGCTGTGGTTCTGCATCCTGGAGGCTCAGGACGTTTGTCCCCGTCCCTGCTCTCTGCACAGCATTGCAGATCTGCCCGGGGAGTGTGTGGAGGTTACTGACCCCTTTGGAATGAGAACACAAGTTTAAAAAAAAAGGGGGGGGGAGCAGATTTTAAAGGCCGATTAACTGTATTTTAACCTTGAAAACAGACACCACGTCATGTATAGCGATGTCCCACAGAAGTAGTAATTACTGTTGTCTAGTACTGAGCTTTCAAGTCTGATTAACGGAATGGCAGTGAAGTACTTTGTGGCAAGCTGAGTGCGTGTGGTGACAAGGAAGCAGGCCAGTAAGGAGAGACTGATTCCTGAAAAGTGCGAAATGCCATTCATGCCGATAAACATGTTCTTTCTTGTTTGCTCCTTTTTACCAGCTTGTTTGAGGAGGAGATAATGTCGTACGTGCCGCCACATGCCTTACTTCATCCTAGTTATTGCCAGTCCCCGAGAGGCTCGCCGGTGTCTTCGCCTCAGAACTCTCCGGGTGAGTTGCTTCTGCAGGGGCTGTGCGAAACCGTGCCTCACGCTTGGCCAGGACCAGTTCCTGACCAGTAAAGTCAGGAGCGCACGCCTGCTGCCTTCCCAGAAGTCAGACAACAAAAACAACAGAAGAATTGTTTGACTAAAATTTTTTTGTTTGCTTTCCAAATTGAAATCTGTGGCAGCCTAAGGCCGAGAACCTACGATTTGGAAACTGTAACCCCCTCTTTGCGGTTCACCGCTTGGAGATGGGTGAAGTTAGATGAGCTGAAGCGCCTTCCGAGCGGTCGGTCAGCTTGTTGGTGCAGTGCTTTCCTTGTGCTGGTGCCTGTAAGACACTGCGGTAGAGCTAGTTCAGTTTACATCATGCTGCCTGTAATGACTTCCCACCTGTCTGAAGATGCAAGTTCTGTTGCTCCAGCAAAAGCAAGGATTTAGTCTGATTTTTGAGCAAAGGCAACAAGCGTGACTGCATTTGACTGTCAGACTTGAACCTTTGCCTTGGGCTCATGAGATGGTTTGCCAGTAGAAAAGATTGGTGCATTACAGCTGCAGAGGTGGTGATTTTGTTTGGATGCGTAAAACATGCAAACTTGTTCTTCGCTGACATGAGACAGCTACGTGACTGCTCATGCCAGGATCCTGCTGCCTAGAGTGTTAAAAATATGAGCTTTAATAACTGTACATTGAAATGCCAGTGTTAGTGGGGCGGTGGGGCCATGAGTGACAGTTTTATATACGGCCAGATCGTTGTCTCTTAACGTGAGTTCGAAAGATAGCGTGTTGCAGCTGTGTGGAAATACACGCGTCCGAATGGAATGGAATTGGCATTTCACGTGTTAACTAAGTTGTGGATCAGAACTAAATTATTTCAGATGTGACGAGTTCCATGTGACCTCTGAAGGCAAAGTATGGCAAGTTGAAGTTCATAGATGTCGCTGTTTGTAGTGTTCTCAAGAAGATAACAGATAAGTAAAATCACTAGAGTAAATCAGAAGTGGCTTAAGGGGATTTCTACATATTTGAGAACAAAAGTGTAGATAAATGTAGGATGTGAGCAACTCTAGGTAGTTTCAGACAATAAGAAAATTTTACCAGAAATTGTACTGTGATTTTTATGGGCATTTCCCAGTCCACAATCATAAAAAGCTTTGCCTTTTCAGGAAACCAGATTGAAACCATTCATAAACGTCTCCTGAGTGGTAGCTTTTACTGCTGCTGGACCAAAGACCTCTGTTGGACCTATTCAGAGGCACTATCTGAAGATCCTAATGATCTTAGGGCATTCTGCAAAGCAGCCAAATACAGTACTCGCATGTACTGATATTTTTTGATACATATATGGTTTAGGTATAGCTGGTTCCCTTTGTTGAAAAGAAAGGAAGAATGAAAGCTGCATGTATGCGTCTTATTTCCAGCTGCAAACCAGGCAGTCTTTTATGAGTAAAAACAGTTTGGGCTTTCAGAGCTGTAATTTCTTCATTACTAGTACATGCACCAAAGCATGCTGTGCTCCAACAAAGTAATTTCAAAATGCGTTCAGTCTTTACCATGTGATACTCTCATCTGTTCCTCAGAAGCAGCACACAGTCAGGGATGAACAGCGATGGTTTTAGTCCCGTTCTCCTTAAAATTGTAATCTCTGTTCTATGTCATGGAAAAATATAGAGAGCGCATTGAATGTCCCTGTCAGTCTGCAAGTATGCAGTTTCTGTTGGTGTACAAATGACTTTTCTGATGGGAAGTTGTAAATAGCCCGTCGTTTCTGTGGAGGCTCTGTGATTTTTGCCAGCTAAGCTGGCTGTGCTGCCCTGCACGAGGTTGGCTGTTAAGGATCCATTGTTCACATCGGCCACAGGCAAATTGTACGTGGCCTTTCGAGAAGGATGAATGGGGATGAAGCTGCTCTGTCTATCTGCTTTAGAATATCACCTCTTTGAAAATCACATACGATTATCACATTGGTGGCGTTTTTTAGCTCTTCCGTTAACATCTTTTGTTCCTAAGGTAGGAAATAATCACTAGAATTGCCCCGGAATTTCTTGGCATACGCATCTGACCTGCAATGAGGACGTGTCATGTGCTGACAGAATGATATACTGCTGATTTCTGAACCGTGCAGTAGTGTGTTACCAGATTTATGTTCTGCGGTATCCCTCAGCAAGAACTCGCTTCAGGGGTTAAGGCTAAAGTATGCTTTGGTTGTGTTTTTATGGTGACTACATTTTTGTACCTACTTTGACCCAAAGCGAAATAAACAAAGTAGGGGGGAAAGACGGGTAATTAAAAGGCTGTTTACAGTTTCAAGTTCTGTAAGTTTTCTGGAGGGTTCAGCTGAGTGTACCAGTAGAAGCCCATAGTGCTCTCAGTAGAAAAGGGAAACGGCTCTAGATGGATCAATGACCACGATTTGTTTTTCCGGAGGGATCCTGCACGTTCCCCTTGGAGCTCTGAGGATCCCCTGACGCTCCCGGTTCCTCTCACACATCGCTCTCAGCCGAGAAGCAGCAGCAGGCGTCTTTCAGGTCAGATAGGTCTTTTCAAGAGCTGTGAATGGCATCCAGCGTCAATACCGAGCTCCGGGGTTGTCTCTCCGAGCTCTGCAGAGAGATGGGCTCTGCAGCTTCCTCCAGCAGCCACTTCCGCACACTGCCTTCTCATGCCTTCGCCTGTAGTAGCAAGAAATGCTTCTGCATTGGCTTAATTTCATACAGGGAGCCAAAAGAAAACTCCCATGAGGAACTGACTGTCACTGAAAAGACGGAAGTCTGCAGATACGTGCTTCGAAACTCTTCGTTTCTGTTCCCACTGTGTTGTGGGCCTGTTCGATGGCCACCAGTTGCAAACAAGTAGTTGGCAGCCTGTGTGTACTGTAGGGTGTGAGACATTTTAAACGTCCCCTGAGTTGTGGGGGGGGGATGTCTACACAGACGTGCAGAGGAGGAGTTTAAGGTTATAAAAATGGGGGGTGAGAAGATGGATGTAAAAGGGCTGGGATTAACTGCCTCTTCGGCACGCTATCTTGCAGTCAAATCAGTGGAAGGAATTTATCCAGGGAGGCAGTGGAAGTTCTAACAGTTGTAATGTTCGGAATCGATCAGGCTAAACAGGTAGGTTGTATGTACTAGAGCTGTACATGCAGATGTGGAGGCATGCTCCCTTTTTTTGGCATACAGATATCCTCTCTCCCTGCTTTTAAGAATTTGACCCTCAAAAACAGTTTTTAAAAAAATAAATTCACTTAGAGGACCATGGTGTCTGTTCCTGCAGTCACACATGAAAAGTTCCACAGACTGAAGTGAGTAGTCTTTCCATTCTTCCAATACTTTTCTGCCTTGTACTTTCTGAAGGAAAAACTTCTACAAGGGAATTTCCAAAAGTCTTCTTTCTTCAGCTTGATGTATTCAGCAGGGGCACAGCAGAGTACAGTCTGTTTATGCTTCATTTCTGAGTTCTTGTTTTTCCTGATAATCTGAAAACCAGAACAGAGCAGAGCATTCATTACATGAGCTATTTTAAAGGTTAGACGTAAAGTGTACTTGACAAACAAAAGTGGAGTCTTTCCAGTTGATGGTGCTGGGTTTTTGATCCATCTTTTGCATTGACCTGCATTTGATCTTTGAAGACTTGCTTTAGAAAGGTGGGACTATTGGAAACAAGCAACCAAAAAGTCTGGGACGCAGAGCAGGTCTGAAGATACGCAGCTTTTACTCTTTATAAGCCAAACACATGCCGTGCTTTCTGCTCTTAAGGAGTCTTCTCGGTAGAGGATGGGACATTACTCCGTTCGCGTCACTACAGCTCATTCTTTGCTTCTTGCTGCCTGCAGGTACTCAGCGTGCCAACGCCCGGGCTCCGGCTCCCTACAAGAGAGACTTTGAAGCCAAGCTGAGGAACTTCTACAGGAAGTTGGAGACTAAAGGATATGGACAAGGCCCAGGGAAACTGAAGTACGTTGACGAATCTCATGAAACTGGATTTGTTTCTCGGGCAGCTTGCCTTGCCTTGCGCGTCTGCACGCTTCTTCCCATTAGAAGGAATGCAGAGGTCATGGTTACCCTTGCACTTCTGGAAATGTAAAGCCTGGCGGTAAAGGTGTAGTGCCAGCACGTGATTCGTAGCAGAAGGCACAGCAAGTTCTGAGCACTTCTGTTCTATGTTTCCTCCAACTATATTTTCATACAAACAATATTACCAATACAGTGCCAAAAAGCTCTTGGGAAGAGGCATGCAGAACAGGAGGCACCTGAATTCTTGCATTATAGCAGTTGCTATGATATAAACAGTTACGTTTTCTCATGTCTTTTTCTGTTGAAAAAACTAGATAGGCTTATCTTTTGTACATCATTGCCTGTATTGACATCACAGTCCTCTTAAGTAATGAGGACTCATAAAATTAAATGTTACTGAATTTTAAGGATCGCGTTAAAAAGCTGCTAATATTTTTACTTCAGCACTCGGAATGCTAGAGTGCTTGGAGGTCTTCCCTTCTTCTTGTATTTGGTAATCATGTGATTACATACGGTTCTGTTAAGGATCATTATCATGCGATACTGTCGTTATTTTGTAAATTACCAAGTCTTGTGCCAGCTACCAAACTCTCGTAGTTTGGTACTCTCATAGTAGCCATGACATGAGGCACTAGAACTTTTTTTTGACTTGTCTCCTATTAGAACAGGAGGGCAGGGCTTTTGGGGTGGGATTTTTTTCTTTCTTAATTTCATTTCCCCCAGCCAGTCACTTCTCACATTTTGCAGGAATTTGTGCAGAGCTCAGAGTTCGTTTATGTGAGCTTGTTAACAGTTTTCCACAACTGAAATGGGACTAAAATGGGATTGTTCAGGCATTCGTAAGAGGCAGGGGTTGGATGCTGTCTGTCTATAATGTAACGAAATCATAAGCACCTAAAGCTTAATCTGTGAAAGTTTTGTCCTGAACTTGGGCAAGCAGCTGGTAGAAGAGGATGGCGTGTGCTACCTGTAAGAGCCGTTGTGTTTCTTGCACCTTTTTTCCCTGACCTATTCGCCATCACGTTGCGGATTTTTAAGCAGAACAACAGGTTGATCGTTGAACAGAAGCTTTCACCGGGTTCCTTTCCCAGGCATACACCAACCTGCTCCTTTTTCCCAAAGCAAGACCTCAGCTCAACCTGCAGACCGCCTGGGTCCTCTTGTTGCCCAGGTACCTTCCCAGTTCCCGGCCTCTCCGCGCCGGGGTCCCTGCGGCACAGCACGGAGCAGGGGCTGGCTGAGCTCTGCCCAGCAGTGGGGCCGGCACGGGCTCTGCCGGAGGCTGTGCGGAGGGGTCCGCGTCCTCTCTGCGCGCAGCAGCAGCTCCTGGCGTTGCTCTGCCTGGCCAAGCAAACGCACACGGAAGGCACTATTTGAATATAAAGCAAGCTAAGTTTCAGGAAACTAATTAAACACTTTTTTTTTTTTTTTTGGTGGAAGATAAAATGTTCAAGTAAGGAGGATTCTTTCACATCGTATTTTAGATCTTCATGACACTTCCTCACTTTCACAATTTTCCTTTGGGAAGGTACATTATGTTTTCACGTGTGGTGCTTCAGTCTGGTTTTGGACAATTGCCTTCCCTTGTAGACTTTTTGTCCCGTCAGTTACACCGGGGAAGATGTGGGGATGTGTCATTCTGGAGTCACCATTCAGTGCTTTCCCAGAGTTTTATCTTTTTCCTCATGAAGAGATTGATTTTTACATAAAAAGTTAGATTGTTGCTTACAGTAAGACTGACTGAGAGGCCCAGCCTTACAAAAGGATTTTAAACTTAATGAAAATGACCACTTCAGGACCTTGCCTGTTGAAGCCTTTAATTTACGGAAGAACCAGGGCAGAAAAAATTAAACTACACTTGTTTGTACAAGAGACATTTTATTGAGATCTGAAGTAGATCCTGGAAGGACATAGGCTGACAGACAGAAGCTGCCTGGTCTGGATTAAACTGTCCAGCTGAAATGTGTATCTCTGTGAAGTCACCCTGTAACCTTGGAGCGTAAATAGATGTTTCCAGCTCTGGTTCGTGTTCACGAATTGCTCTTTTGAAATTATTTCAGATTAATCATCAGGAGGGATCACTTGCTAGAAGATGCCTTTAACCAGATCATGGGCTACTCAAGAAAAGACCTGCAGAGAAATAAACTCTATGTCACGTTTGTCGGGGAAGAAGGGTGAGTAGAACGGGGAAGTGACTGGGATCCCAGACCTCGGTGTGTCTTGCAGCTGCTGTTTCACCAAGCTGCTTGCGGTCTGCAGAGAAAAGGGGAAGGATTACAGTCAGGAAATGCCACATACATAAGCCTAGGCCGTACAGCTGTTCGAGATGACTTCTTAGGCGTTGTGAAATGTAACGCATCCTGCCTCTGCAGAAGTAATGCATGTGTTTATGTGGGTTTTCACAATAGTTGGTGTGTGTTTCAGAATGTTGCTGGGAAAGCAGAGGAAAAACAAACAACTTTCTTGTGTTGTTCATACTTCTTTTCTGTCAGTGCTGACACTGGGTCTGCAGCGCTTGTTAAGAGACAGCTGCCATTAGTTGGAGGAAGGGTGCCTCGGGAGCAGGCTTAGAGGCTCAGTCCTGGATTCCACTCCTCTCTGAGGCCATGGGAGCTGAAAGCCCTCAGTGCTGCGGGAGGTGCTCGCTGCCTGGCCAGGCCGCAGATGAAAGCAGCTGGGCTGTTGCTAGATGAGCACAAATATTCCTGACATCTCATAGTCACTGCAGAGGATGCTCAGTCTGTCTCTGATGACAGTCGAACGTGTTACAGGTTGCGAGATGCGCATTGCAAAGGGAGACGTGGTGAGATTTTCTTTGCAAGTGAAACTGGAACGATTTTGTCTCTTTTGTCTCTCGATTTGTGCCCCCTTTTGTCAGAACTTAAAGCTTGCTGTCTTGGGCATAAATATTTTTATTGATACATCTCGTGAACGTATTTGTAAAGAAATTCAACATTTTATTCCTTGCTATTTAGGAAGCTGCAGCACAGAGCTCTTGGAGTGCTGTAGTGTGCATTGTTGAGTCTTTAAAATAGCGAAGTTGTAATAGAAACATCTCATACAAGATTAGATAAAATTTATCTGTTTTTGAAGCCGCCTAAATCCTGTTGTTTGTTTAAAGTTCACCCTGAAGTCCTTGGTGTTAATAAGGACTCCCTGAAGCCTTAGAATAAAATAATGTTGACAGCTGAGAGCCAAGTGTGGACTTGTTCCCGTAAATGCCATCACGGTGCTGTCGGCGGAGAGCCTCCGAACTGGAATGGCGAGGCTGGTGCGGGAGGAGACGGCGCTGCATTGACAGAGCAGGGCGGGGATGCAGAACGGGGCCTGCCTTACGCAGCCCTGCCAGCCTCTGCTTTTGCAGCTGCAGCCTTGGCTCACATTTAAAAATGAAAGGGAAAACTTAAAAATCATACAGGAGAGAGCGCTGGGTCCAGATAGACTGGCTCCTTTCATCAGCCGGCAGGCTTTTGCACATCATCACTGGGCACAGCAAGATGAAGAGTGACCTGGAAATGGGGGGGGCACGTCCTGTTCCCATTACACCCAGCCTTCCACAAGACTTTCTTCTTAATGGAATAGGAGGAGTTAATTAAGAGCAAAGTCACGTTAAAATGACGTCAAGTCTCTATTTACAAATCTGTATTTTGAATGAAGAAAGGATGTGTGCAAGCAGCAGTGTTTCATCAGAGATGGTGCAAGGGTATGGATCACATCAAGCTACTCATTTGGCTAGGTGTAGAAGGGCAGGTCAGGGTGGAGGGGAGGAGGACGAGGAGGAGGAGGAATACTGAAAGTTAATTGTTTCCTATTTGCTCCTCCATTTCCTTTTCCAAGCTTTTCAGTGGGAGTTTGCTCTTGCGTTTCTTTTCCTCTCGGTAAAGAGTTGTAACCTTAAAATAATGGATAATGAAATCCTCACAAACTGGAAGATTTTAGTAACTATTGATTTATTAGTGTATAAGTTAGTAACTGGGGCAGCTCAGTTCCTGCTGTTCACAGGATTTGTATCATGAATCTCGTAATGTTTGGTATTGTCCTTGAATCTTCAACTTCTACAGTCGTGCAGTTGTGATGCTGGTTTCATGGGTTTGCATTCATACTTTATGTGGTGATAAATTAAGAAAATTTTGATGCAAAGAATATGGTTCCTGAAAGTGATTTTTCCTAAGTTGTGTTAACTAGTGGCAGAAGCTGCTTTGCATTTGAGTGTGGTAAAATCTGAATTATTAGTGGTGCTTCCTAGGAGACATGAGTCATGTTGCCAACAACATGTTGCTCTGCTCCCGAGTACCCAAATGCCCCACAGTTGCAGCTGTTGTGTGGTTGCATACCTCTTGTATGAAGTTTTCTCACCCTTGTGCCAAGCCTTTAATTGTGGGATAAATCTGACTGGCAGTGCAGGACTCTCATGATTGATTTACTGAAGATGACTCACAGTAACTCTGCGAACGAGAGGAGCTGTAGGAAATGGCTGGTAGTCAAGCACACAGTTTCTAGGCTATCTGAAGATTTCATGGTCAGTCTGCTTATCCCAGAAGTTTGCAAGAGTCTTCCAGATGACCCTTTACTTGATCGTGGTATTTGTGCCAAGGTGAAGATCCAACAGTTGTCTGTGGTATCAAACCATTTTGGTGTTTTTCTGCAATTTGAGGTCGGAATCCACCCTGCTTGCCAGGGTAAGGATCTGTTTCAGTACTTCAGTTCTGGCGCTTAACAGAAGCAAAGTGCTTCCAAATGACTGAAGGGAAAATGTTTTTCATTCAACAGAGGAAAGAAGGTTTGTCTTCAACTTGATAATGGTACCTAGCCTTTGCTTTCCTGACAGCTTCATCCTCAAAAAGAACTCTGGTCTGTGTGTGTCTTCTGTAAAAGTTCATGCATGAGCCAAAACATCAGTAGCAGAAGACCTATGTGAAAGCGGACTTAATACCAAAGCAAGACCTTCGTGAAAGTCAAGTGTGAAATCTTCAGTGTAGAGAAGATACATCTTGATATCTATTTGTTAGGATTATAATAATCTCTGTTCCCCGCAGGAAAAACCCTAGTTTTCTGTTTTCCAACTCTACTAGAGCATTAACTTCATCCTTAACTCATTTCACTGGTGACCTGCAGCATAATGTCAAAATTGAGTCTCCGTGCTTTGTCAGCAGTGAGTTTGTTTATGATTCAGGAAGAAGGGGGTATTTAGAGCCCTTGTTTGTTACTGCTGGAATCTTGAAATAGCAAAAAAAAACCCCAAACAACCAAAGGAAGTGCACTCTCCAAAAGAGATTTAAAGGCACTCAGGTTTGGAAGACAGACAAGAAAATTTAGACCAAGAAAGATAAATCACTGGAGTAATCTCAGTTTATATTGCGAGGGAAAACAGAAATATTATCCTTCCAATCGTCCAGTTGTTGCAAGTCTGCTAAGACAAAATATGGCCATGGTTCATTTTCATTCTGAATTTGTCAGATGCAGATAGGTCTAGTGTTGGCTCTTCCATGCTCCCCCCCCCCAATTATTTGGTTATATTCCTGTGGCAAAGAGGCCATGACAGCAGGAGCCAACATTTTTATGAGAGTAGCCCACATAGAGCACTTCATTCCAGTCCTCCTCTGAGCCGTTCCATTTCAGAATTGCCCCACGAGGACTTCGCATACCTTGGCATTAAGCAATCTGCAGGATAAGGGTTCTGGTTAAAATATTATGAAATTTTAATTAAAATATAGCATAAGGAATGTAGATTCAAAAAAGCGTTTCTTTGCACACAATGAGCACTTTGTAGTAACGTCAAGTTTCTCTTTAAAGGTTGGACTACAGTGGACCTTCAAGAGAATTTTTTTTCCTGGTGTCTAGAGAGCTCTTCAATCCGTATTATGGCTTTTTTTTATATTTTGCCAATGATACCTACACAGTGCAAATAAGTCCCATGTCTGCTTTTGTAGACAATCACCATGAGTGGTAAGAATTATTTTTCTTTTTGTTTTTTCAGATAAGTTTTCTGTTGTTCCCACTTGTAGGCAACTGCTCGTATGTGCCCAGACATAGAACAGAGTCTGATCTGTGTAACCAGCAGCAAAATAATTGCATTTCTTTAGAATTTCCTGATTTTCTTTTCTCTTGTGGTTTTAAATGATCGTATTTCTCACAAGGTCAGCAAAACTGAACTGGAACATGCACCATGTGTCTCACAACACCACTTTCTGCGCTGCTTGTACGTTAGCAGTCATTTCATGAAAGCAATATTAGTCTTTTGTGCATATTAATAAAAGTAAATGAAACACTGGGCTTTTGTCAACTAAGGAGTTTAAGGGAGGTTTCAAGCAGATGTTACGGTATGTAATTTGTTTGAGTCTTCCTAAAAAGCTCAGAGGTCTCTGTGGAAAAAAACCCAACATATCTATTGGAAGGAAATCTATGGAGGTATCTTAACTGGGGGCGGGGAGAAGACCACTGGTTACGTAGCTCCAAGCAAAGTCTGTACATACACACATACTTCCAAAACAGTTATCAAGGCTTTTTACATAATCCCATTTTCACAATTATAAGCCAGTTCAAATCACCCTCAGTTGATTTAAGCCATGGCATCACCAGAAGTCTGCAAAGCTGTGCTGTGAAGATGAACAGTGAGTTCTGTGGTGCAGGCAATTAGATTACAGTAACAGTGGAACGACAAGTGCTCATCTGTGGAGGACAGATATGTACTGAGTTCTTGTTAATTGGAAGCGAGATACGAAGAATGAGTATCAGAACGGAATCTCATTACTAGTTTTAAAAATTAATAGCAAATTAAATGGTTGGCTGCATCCAGTTCAGTTAGTTGCAGCGACCGACCTGTTGAGCTCCAGTACTGCAACAACGCATGGCATATGCTGTACTGGGAAAGCAGAGCAGTCTCGAAAAAGGGGAGGAGAAAACCTTATGTGCTCTGCAGCTTCTGCCACCGTTTTGTGTTCATCCCTGGCTTCTGCACTGCTGGACCGGAGACCTTGGCGGGGAGGGAGGCATGACCCCCTCTTCTGCTGGGAGTGCTGGTGCCAGTGACAGCGCTGGTCTGGTACAGCCTCTGGGGGAATTCGGAAAACGCAGCTGTGACAAGCAGCTGTGCACGGGGGGAGAAGGCTCGGCGTGTCGCACCCTCGCCTTGCAAAGCCTGTGTACAGGCTCATCTTTCCAAGAGGATGCAGAAAGTTGAAGAAACATTGTTTTCTTTGAAAAAGAACATTAGAGTGACATCTGGTTCCAGAGATGTGTAGGATTTTTCACAGTGGATCTTTATTCTCGTGGCGATATTTTTTAAGACCCACCTGCTGCAAAGTTGCTGCCGTCTGATCTCAGATCTGTCAAGCTCCGTCCCCCTCAACCCTCATTACAGACCCAACAAAATGAAGATAGTAGGGGAAAAAAGGGAGGGGGGAGAGAAGGAAATTGCTTAGATCCCATTGATGTAGGGCTGGAGAGCACTGTGATACAGAGAAAAGCTTCCAGACACTGTTTGTGAAAAGATACTTAGAAGTCCATAGTCACCAGTCAGAAGAGGGAGCAAGGAGCTGCTCTAAGCAGGAAAGAGACAGCAAGAACTGGCAGGCTGGGAAAGGGTAGGAAAACCTTTGGCCTCCCAGTAACACGAAGTTAATCCTGTGTGAGGTGTGTGAAGAAAATAGTGGCTATCATGAAGAGGCTAGTGTGGCGGGGGTTGGTCGGGTTCAGACGGGTCTGACATTTTTGAGAAGTTGCAACTTAGGTATCTGAGGGATTTTCCACACCCTGTGGACTTGCATTTTTTCTGTGCCTTACTAAGATCGTAAAGGAAACACAAGAAAAAAAAACCAAAATACCACAGTTTAGACGTAGCTATCTGATTTAAAACTGCTGTTTGGAAATACATGTAGGTTTTGATGACAGAGCAGTGTACAAACCACAGAGTTTCAGTATAACGATTGTAACTCTTTCTCTTCCAGGTTCAGGTTTAGTGGTCGAATTCTTGGTCTTGCTCTGATACATCAGTATCTGCTAGATGCCTTTTTTACACGGCCCTTTTATAAAGCCCTCCTCCGAATGTGAGTAGAAGTGTTCTGTCTGCTTTTTTGTTTGGTTCCTTCCCCACGGACAGTGCCATTTTCTGTATGGAGAAATTGTGATGTTTTATCATCAAAGAAGACAGGCCATTATTTATAATCTAATAAATTCATTTCAGTCCAGGACTTTTTTTTAAAAGTTGACTGGTTTCTGATTGTGATTATTAGCCAGTTACTAATAACTCGTTAAGTCGTTTCTGATCCGTATGAAAACCTCAGCTTTGTTTTAGCCATGTTATCAGCTGTCTCCTACAAAATCTTACATTCGAAGCCGTACAATGCAATGCTGTGGATTTACTCCAGATTGTTTAGTAGAGTGCTTATTCATTTGCCTTGTAATGACTCGTGGGATGGGATGTGAATCGCTTCGTAACTTAGACTGTGAGACCCGTTCTCAGAGGTAGACTGGTTGTTGGCAGGCTCCGTTCAGAGGAGCTTCACTCTGATGTGCTGCAGAGCTCATTTTCGGGACGATTACTCCTGTTCTGGCTGAAGCAAGGAGAGCTGCGCTTGCTCAGCGTGTCTGGAATTTAAGACCTAATGAACTTAAGGTGCTTCACTTTTTGTCCTACATTTGAAACCTGTTTTTGAGAAGTCTGGAAGGATGTTTTCTGTATAAAACATCATACATTCTGGTAGTGTGGAGTAATGCATCCATTCCTACTGCACGTCTGTTTTAAAAGTACCTAAACGCTGACAGAATCGTTTCAGTAAGCCCAGATGGACTTTACTACTAATATTGTGTGACTGCCAAATTAAATTAGTTGTTGAACTGGGTGACTCTCTAAACAGCAAAATAAAAAATGATGGGGCAACCACGTGTGTCGTACACAGCCGAATGCCCGTTCAGCCGTGGCAGCAGGGCAGCTGAACAGACTGCCTTGCGCAGTGAAGAGGTCAGAGAGCTGGCGGTGTAGTCACATAAGCAAAAAGGATAGTAGTTGCTTGTTATAAAAACTTACAATTTCTTTTATGATTTGAATTTTTTGTCTCTTCAATCTATGTATTTTCATAATTCCAAAATATTCTTCACCGGAAATATGGGACAGACTCACCGTGAGCTTAAAAAGAAATGTGCCTTCAAGTGAATAAATTCTGGAGCTTTCGATATCAACAAAACCATTTTGTGTTATACAGTAACTGCTGTTACTGGGCAAAGAAACGGAGATTTCAAGTAGTGTCGTCTTTTATTCCATCGATTTTTCTCTGGGCTCCCATTCTCGGTCAGTTTTTCAGGACTGTCCTACCTGACGGCGTTCGGTTGCTGAGCAGCGCTGCGGCCCTGCCCTCACCTCTCTCTGTGTGCTTTCTCCTTGTCCGTGCTAGACTCTGTGACCTGAGCGACCTGGAGTATCTCGACGAGGAGTTTCACCAGAGTTTGCAGTGGATGAAAGACAACGATATCCATGATATCCTAGATCTCACGTTCACTGTCAATGAAGAAGTTTTTGGGCAGGTGTGCGAGATTCTTAATTTGATTTCCGTGTGTATTTATTTGGAAAGAAGAGTGGTTGTCATTCCAAGCTGATTTGAACTTGTTTTTATAAAATTCTGTTTGATGAAAACAATGGTGAAACCTAAGGAGGAATTATTATTTGCAACCAGTCCAACGGGTCTTTCTGGTTAAGGAGATTTTCTGGAGACTATCTGAAATACCAGAATTTTGGATTGCTTTGCTGGAGGTAGTTTACCTGAATTTAATTGCAGCAGAGTTAGCATTGCAAAGGTATTACAACACCTTTGTTACAATGTTATTTAGCAGACGTCGCTACTTTAACCACTGTGAAGACTGTTTCTTCTTCTCAGCTTATTCTTCGTGCTAAATATGAAGATTCTTCAGACTAAGTGGGATTTAAAGTACAATTGTATCCAAAAAAGATTTGTTGTATTTTGTCTTATTTCACATGTTCCAGTTTGCTAAAGTCAGTCTTGGCTAGTGCTTTTGAGGAATTACTTCAACTTAATAGTTTAAATTACTGTAATTCTTTCTTTTGTCTGTATAATACTGTGTGGTCACTGGGTCGCTTTTTGCCTAAGATCACAGAGCGAGAATTGAAGCCAGGAGGTGCCAACATCCCCGTCACTGAAAAGAACAAGAAAGAATATATAGAAAGAATGGTGAAGTGGAGAATTGAGAGAGGAGTTGTACAACAAACAGAAAGTCTAGTTCGTGGTTTCTATGAGGTAACAAACTCCAAAATGAAATTTACTTTCTTTCTTTATCATCCCAAAATACTTTTCTCTTCATGCACATTTCCTGAATACAGAGTCCCAAAAAGCAGATGCTACACGTAGAATGAGAAGTGCTCTTATGGATAGCGGCGGGAGGGATCAAATCGTTGTCAGTCATTGACTTAAACACTATGGTTATGTGTCTGCTCGAAAGTGGAAACTGCTGTCGATCCCTGTTGCTATGCTCAGCAGGGAATGCTGGCAGAAGTGGCCCGTCTGGTTCTTCACTGGGCCTTCGAGTGTTTGCGTGCATGCCGTACTCGGTGTAACTTGGTAGACTGAGATGTACTACCAATCCTTCGAATGCTTAGAAATAATGAAACTTGCCCAAATTTGAAGCATGACAGAATAACATCTAGTATTTTAAATCAAGAAATGAAGAAATACTGCTATGCCTTTTATTTCCGTTCGCAGGTGGTTGATGCGAGGCTCGTGTCTGTGTTTGACGCCCGGGAACTGGAACTGGTCATAGCTGGAACAGCAGAAATTGACTTGAGCGACTGGAGAAACAACACGGAGTACAGAGGAGGTAGCCTTCATTTGAGTCATTCACTGACGGGGTTGGGGGCTGGGAGTGACCCCGTTTCTGAGACGCTGAAGAACCATCCCATGAGATGCATCTTTAGAATTTTCTGAGTTTCGGTGGTGAAGTTTGCATCAGGAGAAGGTCATTTTGCCCATTTTAGTTTGCTGCATTGCTTCCCCAGGCAGCTCTTGCCTGCCTGTTTTTGTCTGGGCAGCAGAACAGAGCAGGCTTCTCCGCAGAAAGTCCCGTGCTCACCCGCACGCCAGTGGAGTGCCGCCCCGACACTGGAGGCAAATGGAAATGGTAACTGCTCCTAGTAGGATCTGCCTCTTTCCCGCTCTCAAAGACAGCAATTAGAAGTTACAAGGGATCCCAGCGACTGCAGGCTGGCAGCTGAGATAGTTTTAGAACAGTGCAAGATTTGGGAACTACTTTGAGAGAGATGGTTGCAGCATCATTGGTAGCTTTGGATATATAAAAAGCACAGCGTTGGGATATTTCAAGGATTGGCACTCCTGTTAGTGACTGATTAATGGACCAAATGCTTGCAAACAAGATTTCACTCCTTTTTGTCATAGTAAATTAATTCTCTGCCTTTAAAATTTTTAAGCATTTTAGGGCTATTCTTCTCTCCCCTCCTGTCTTCTGCTGCAGTTGGGTAGGAAATGTGTCATTTCTGTGACTCGGGCCGAACTAGGAAAAACTTGTGAACTCTTCTCTCAATCCCTTTTGTAGCACCTGAAGGTGTAAAGGCTCTTCTTGTTTTAACAGGCTATCATGACAATCACATCGTAATTCGGTGGTTCTGGGCTGCTGTGGAAAGGTTCAACAATGAGCAACGACTCAGACTTTTACAGGTAGGAAGGCAGCTGATCTGAGTAGAAATAGTGTGCGTCGTTAAAATTCGGTGCTAAACTAGTCCCAAGTACTCAAAAACTTTCTGTAAAAAGCAGTGCAGGGCATCTCCTTTGATGGAGAGCCAGAGATGTCTGCTAATATGTCCCTGTCACGTCTGTTAGTGAGAAGTTCTTATTGTATCCAGATCATTACAAATTCAGTAGCCCCTGATTTGTCGAAAAACGCTTGATCTGTTCATGGCAGGTTCTAACTAAGTCTGCTCAACAGACAGCATTTCAGCGCATGCCAGTGGGCAGTCTGCCTAACCTTCAGAATTCAGTCCTTTGCTTACAGTATTTAATGATGGTTTGCTTAGAGTATTTAATAATGGCTTATGAAGATATTGAAGTCCACATAGCCAAAAAGGCCTAACACAAAGCTATTACCATACATGATTACTTTTCTTTTAGTTCCTCTTAATATAGAATAAAAACAGTAGGGAAAAACTCGCTTAGGCCTAAGTTTAAGTAAGTTGATATCAATAGTGTTTTATTCTGCAGTATTTATGTAGCACAATTGCTCTTCCAAAGAGAAACCTTTGAAAGAAATGAATCTGGTAAGTTGTCTCTTCTAGAGCCCCGTCAGGAAATGCTCTGTTTTCCCTTACCCTCCATTTCAAGTAGCATTTGTTGCTTGTGCCTCACAAGTTTCCTTATTTTGCAAATGCTTTTACGTAAGCATTTGGAATTCCGTGATACGCTGATGTAAATGAACTTCTAACCCACACCACCCGTGACGATGTGTTTGCGCTGGCAGTTCGTTACAGGCACGTCCAGCATACCTTATGAAGGATTTGCCTCGCTGCGGGGGAGCAATGGTCCGAGAAGGTTCTGCGTGGAGAAGTGGGGGAAGATCACTGCTCTTCCAAGGTACAACCGTGTCTGTGTTAATGCTAGAGATACTTCAGGATATCGCTTATCGGGATAAGAGATGAGCTGTTTGAGAAACATGAACAATTTGTCACTGAGTATGCAAATATACTGTGCTTTACATGTAAATTTACTTACCCATTGTTCAGTGCCTGATGCATCCATCTTTGTTTAACTCCAATTTTTTTCTCACGAGATGGACAAGGCAGTGTAACTGCAGCTGATATCTGTATTATAATGTCTTTTTCATGGAAAATTATATTAGAATGATAACTATTTCTGAATTTGATTTTGTTATAGTTTGGTTAAATGTGCAGTATTTACTTCCTGAACATGCAGTTCATCACTCAGGAGCAAAGATTAATATGAATTAAAATGAAACAGGACCTGTGACTCTGAAAGCTAGTATCGGAGTTTCTGGATTAGACACGCACAGCCTTTACGGTATAGTTTAGTCACGTAATTTTTATGCTTTGTCTGACTTGAAGAGAGTTAACAAATATGGAAGAGACAAGTTATGAACTGCGGAAGAAGTGTATTTTGAGAAGGGAGCACAGGGACGAGAAGGGGTGAAGATTTCAAAGAGCACAAATAGGGTCTGTTGAAATACGTGAAAAGGGCGAAGGACGAGCATGAGAGTCCAAGGTATGAAAGCAGGAGTTGAGTTGTACAAGGCAGGTTCTAGCCTTTTCTGTATTGTGGTCATGCCGACACGTTTCTGGAAGGTTCCTTTCATCCAGTTCTGTAATTCTGCAGCCTCTAAAATGGGTTAACAGTGGTTAGAAATACAGATGAGCATGTGGAGGGTGAGTGAACTAACTCCGCTTAATCAGAGCTCACCTTTAGTACGCTGCTCGTAGCCTGTGGTGGTACGTTTTGGCTGGGCACATCCATGGAGGAAATTCAACCCCAATCCTGGCCCATTCCTCTTAAACAAGGTTCCTCGGGAACAGCTTGCATTCAGAGTCTCTTTTTAGACACCAGGCAGCTGTCAGACACACGGAGAGTTTCTCTGGCCACCACCACTTAGCTTGTTCCTCCAGCCTGAAGCCAGGGGCAGAGACATCAAAAAAAGTCGGCAGGCGCAGCAGGCGGCCGTTAAACAAAGCCGCCTTGCCAGGTTACCGTACAAACGAGAGCCAGGCAGCTGAGGATTAAAGATAAGCAAATTCTGGAAACTGCTATTTCAAATCAAATACTCTAATGTCTTTTGGGGGCCTAGGAATAGCTTGTAGCCCGGTAAGTCCACTTTATAGTTTGATTGTGATTGACCTGTGTACTAGCTTTGATTCTGTCTGAAAAGGAAAAATATTAGATTTTAAAAAATCAATTCTGACTTCAAAACGTCAAATTTCTTTGTAAGTTTAAGTAAGAAAAGGGGTTGTGGGAGTTTTTCCATATATTCTCTAATACTGGAATTCCTGGTGCTACCACGCACAGCTTGCAGCATGCACAGGGTCAGGACGTGCCTGAACAGGCTGCTCAGAATTTCCTCTCAGAGGTTACCCAGAGCTCTGGTTGTAGGAAACCCCAGAATAAAGCCGCTTCCTGCAGAGCAATCTGGAGCAGCACGTCGAGGATCTTTGCTGCCGGAAGGTGTTCAGCAAGAGCAGGGGAAACGCCAACACCTGGCAGAATGTATTGTGCCCTTCAAATCACATTTGTGATTCTCTTGCTTAGGAAACATTTGATTTTTGTCTCTGTGGGTAGCTTTTAACGTAAAAGTGTGAGAATTAAAACAAACTAACAACCCGCTTGTTTTGTTAAAATAAACAACTGCATATGGCAAACACCTGCAGTTACCGTGAGCTGGCAGTTCCTGGCGTTCGTACGTGGAACCTTGATCTCATAAAAAATAAATTATCTTCCACGCTTACGCTTACACGGGCTGAGCCCTGAGCAGGAGGGAGTATCGGCGTTCGACAGATCTGGTTCCTGCGCTTCAGCCCGCGTCTCCCCAGCTGCAGACACTGCAAGCACCCAGTGGTGCTGGCTTGAAGGTAGGACATTGTTAACAACGACCCCGAGCAGCAAACTTCCCAGAGGGCTCCGAACAAGCCCTGCCTGGGTAAACACAGGGCTGGGTCTGCCGAGGGCGCTGCCCTGGGAGCCCGGCCTTGCGCGGGTTCTCACGCAGATGGCCAGCGCGTCGGTGTCGAGGCGCCGTCACGCACTCCTAGCAGAGCCGTGCTTTGCCCTTTCAATTTCAGTTGGAGCGTTTGTCAAATTTGATAGTGCTTGGTGAGAGGGTGGCAAAAGCCACGATTCAGCAAGTCAGTGCATTTTGTGTTTCTTCCTCTGTTTCTAAAAAACTGCTGCACAGCTGAAAACACATGAAAACGGCCCCTCGCTGTCTCTTCTTCCTGATTTTGAGACACAGAAGGCAGCTAATACAGTTACTTAGCTATGGGACTGTGGTCTAAGCAGCTGTGAATGTAGCCACCCAAGTGCTCCCTAGATGTTTACCTTGTTCCCACGGTGACTGCTGTGTAATCAGTTCTTCTCAATCAAAACCGTGGGGCTTCCGAGGGGCGTGTGTCAGGTTGCCGCGCTGGTATCGCCGTCCGTTACGCTAATAAGTCAGTAGCACGTACAAGGCCCTGAAAAGATTGATTATTGTAGGTAGGTTTAGCTGAAGTATTGCTATCCCTGATGCCACTTCTTTCTTTCGCACGGTGTCGTACGTTCCGCTAAACCAGCGGCGAGACGGCTGCTCCTTCCGCCCGCTCCCGGGCCGAGGGGCTGGCTGCGGGGTCAGTGCGGCGCGTCACATCTGTGTGCACGCCATCGTTCGCACGCGGGCAGCATTTACGGCTGCCTGCTGGAGTCAACTCCAAGTCAGTCTGTTCTACTGCTGTAATCAGAGTGAAGGGGAGATTAGTTAGGAATCTAGACTTCAGGAACCAAGGTGGTTTTTCATGTTGTCATAAAGCGTGAGGCCCACATGGTTTGCAGAGTTGGAATGGGAAAACACTGTCCAGAGCAATAAAAAACCTTTCTTCTCAAAGATGTGCAAAGGTGCTGCTAAGGTGAGAAAGGCGTGCGTTCCCTCAGAAGACAAAGATCTCACATTTTTGTCTCATTTCAGGACTTGGCTTTCCAAAGTAGGTGATTGCACTTTCGAAGTTGCCCTCTAAATGAAGATAAAACTCAGTTCTCCTAATAAATGTAAACAACATGCCGGCCTGCTATTGAACCAGTCTGTAATGAATCCCTTGCTAATTACAGACTATTTCTTCCGTAATTTGTGA